TATTATTTTATTTCACAACATGGATAATATTACAACATGACAACATGAAGATTTGACGATGGAGGAAGAGCTACTTAAATATCTTTTGCGTCGCAAGAAAAAAGACACGCTTCTTAATATAAATTATTATACTATGAAGAACTATTAATTTTAGCGTTTGTGCTGTCACATATTTTACGACACGTTACTGCGCTTGTCACAAAATTAGCGACACGCTGCTGCGCCTGCCTGTCACAGAATTTGGGTTTATCTGATTCATCAGATCAGCTTGCCGTAACACTAGTTACAAGAATACAGGTTAGATTATAGACGCTAATGTTATTTTAAGAAATGCCATTGTAAATAACTTACCTTCTACCAGTAAACCACAAATTATTAAATCGCTATTTTTTACTCCATTATCAATACATTTGTCAAGTATGTCTTTCATTTCATTTCCCAATTTCACGAGATCACAATCTTCCAATGTTTTACCTTTAATAGGTATATATATTATATATGGAAAAATCTGCTTGTCCCTGTAGTGAAGGGTCGAATTTACGTTTTCTATGTACAGATGCGTAAAATCTTCAAGCAAGACTCCATAATCTAGTGCAAATGTTGACCTTCGTTTCGCGACGGTATCGGTACGCTCCAGAGCATTAGTTGACCTAAAAATAATTCAATAATCATTATAATCATGATATAAGGTAAAAAAAAAACAAAATTATGTCAGAAAATTACCATTCACATTTAAAATTAATGTTGCAGAGAAATGGCCTGATCACGGGTTCAAAAGCTTCATGTACAAAGGAATCTTCTTTTAAGTCTGAGTGAGGGCAGTTCACGACAGCATGCCCAGCCTGCTCATACTTACTGCACTTCAGGGGAACACTAAGGCAGTCTTCTGTCTAGTTGTTGTTGCTGTTCGTTTTGTTGTAGAAGCAGGAGCAAATTCGTTTTTGATAGCACCAAAAATAATTCGGGTTCAATCATTGAAAATACTCCACTTGAGACATTTTGTTTGAATAAAAATATAAGGAACTACAATGGTCATGGAATATTAAAAAAAAATCACAATCAAATGCATATAAAAGATTTAGAAGTTTATAACTTACAGTATTTCATCAACCTCTTCTATATTATTCTCAGAAGCTTTTTGAACAGACATATTATGATATTCTAACAATAAACTTGAAACATCAAGTTTATTGAAAACCCACTAGCCCTGTTCATTTCTGTTCCATGCCGTTCGGCAGCAAATTTGTATCAGCCAATCAAAAATCGATGCAAATTGAGGATGTTCCGTTCCGTTTCCCACTCAAAGACTTCAAGACAAAAACTCCATATTTCCGAAAGCCCTCAGAACCGTTTTCCGTAATAGTAATACGACCTTTTATCTGTCAACATTTTTATAAAATGACACAAAAAAGACCTTGTCCAAAATGTCTAATAGAGTATTGCCTGGCAGGGCTGATTCATCCCAATTACCTTTGTCCTGTAAAGCAAAACAAAAACACAGGTAAGTAAAACACAAACATGTTGTAAAAAGTGACAAAGATCTCACCAGAGTTATGTTCTTGTCATCTGTATAGGTGAGAGAACGCGTCTTTTCCCAGTTTCAGGCACTGTTTTCCTTGGTCTCCCCCCTTCTTGGGGGCTGAGACACTATTGTAGAGGGTGTACTAAATTTTTCTAAACAGTCTATACTAGCCATTGCATGTGTGGTTGGGGGATGGGAACAGATAAGAACGAATGGATGTTGCAAATTTTTCATGCCGATTTGATCCAATCATGTGATTTTGAAGCTGCCAATCAGGGGTTGACCCAAATTGGAAAAAGGTAAATTAAAATCCTTTCTGAATAAACCTAAATATAAGTTTAAATATTACCTTTTTTTGCATCCTCACTTAGTGCTGAGCAGTCCTGCTTATATTTTTTATCACACCTCCAGAGCATCATTTTTAAATATTAGATATCTTGACTCATCACTGAAAACTACTCTATCCCAATTCTTCCTTCCAATTCTTCATCCTCTTACACCACTCTAAACATATTGTCTTATTTTTCTCAGTTACTAATGGCTTTTTTTTTTTTTTTTTTTTTTTTTGCAACTCTACTATAAACCCCATAATTATGCAAAGTATGCTGTACTGTTCTTGAACTTACTGAAATAGTAAGAGACTTGTTAAATGCCTCTGTTAACAACTCGAGTGTAATACTTCTATCTTTCTTGAATTCCCTTAGTAATTGCTGCTTATCTCTTTTACTTAGTTTGGATGGCCTACCAGACCGTTGTGTTGTTGTAATGCACCTGCTATCCATATATCATTCAATTACACTTTGAATAGCTCCCTTTGAACATTTGACTATAGCAGCTATCTCCTGAAGCATATGCTTTCCCCCCAAGTGCAGACCAACAATCATTCCATGCTCAAAATCAGACAATTCTGCAGCTTGTGGCATTTCAGACAATGTTTTCAATCAGTTGAAAAGCTTTTTCTGAAAGTTTAGATTCAGCACTACAAAAAAAATAAATTTTAAACTATTTGCATAGAAACTGAGGGAGTTATACTTGTTGAAAAAATGCCAATACAAAGCACATATCAGGTGATTGACATCGAATTGGTTGAGAATTTTGTCAGGGGTTTACGATGCTCTCAGTTCACAAGGGTGGCAGCTAAAATTTACTGGTTTCATATAACTTAAAGTACAGTCATTTCGCTTCAAAATGATATAAATTTTAATGGCAGTTACTAAGACGTCGTTTGTGTACATATGGTTTAAAAAAAATCAATGTTTATATGTCTCAATAACTAATTCTTACATTATACGTATAACTTCGGCATTCCACACTTTGCTATTTACATCATTAAAAAGAGCATTTCTTGGCAAGTCGAACGATGTAAATTATACTAATTTTTATTATGTTGATTTCTGAGTAAACTAGTTTTGAAGTGATGTGGTTGTGAAGAAGTACTTATACTTTGGCAGGGGGGTGTACAACAAGGGATATATTTTTCGCCGTGTAAAATATAAATTCCTAATATGACCTTTATTCCAAGCTACATTACATGTTACATTCTGATGTTTCATACAATCATCATCACAATTCGTGCACATTATTGTTATAGATCTAATTGTGCAAACGAAGTGTTTGGGTTTGATCCATCTACAAAAGCTGAGCCATTGAAACAAAACATCGCTGAAAATTATAGCAGCTTTCGTAAAAGACACACAGATTGCTGCTGGTAAAATTTTATGAATATCGGTAGAAGTACAGATATGATACACCTACGACTAAAGCAACAACGTAACACCAATGATTAATCCACGATAAATATTAACGAATTTGTTTTTCTTCGTCGTTTTGAATAAAGAAAAATTAAAAGCATCAAGTTGAAAAGAAAAGAAAAGAAAAGAGCGAACCAATAAAACAACCCAAAAAACGCGCTGTACGGTGTGTCGAGGCAAATGTCACGGGAGAGCGGAACGTAAGGATTTAACTTTCTTTGAACAGAGCGTAGCGCCTCCTACTAACAGTTTAACCAGACTGACAGTTAGTGACCTTTCGTTTAGGTTTTACACTGACGGCACTTCCGTTTGCCGGATCGTGACACTAAATCCTAGATAAATAATTGCTCTCGAGATAATTAGTAACGACTATCTGCCGATGGATGCTTTCGACAGTCTGTCCGTTATAAAATATACCCAATTATTAACGCGTTATACTCAACAATTAAATATCTTAGTTCGCTACTCAGATAATCGAGGGACAAGAATCGATTATCCTTTTCCGATATAGGGATTAGTGGTTTAAAACTATATCGAATAATTCAGGGAAATACGTAAAATATGTTTATGATCAGAGTAAATGCGACACTCGTTTATTGATAAGAAAATAAGGAATCGGATAATAATAATATTCGAACTATATAAGACACTTAAAACACATGAAACACACCAAAACTAGCTGACTTCTACGCTTCTTTTATATCTTTCGAGCTACTAATTGTCCTATTTTTAGCAACATTAACTTTGAGCTTCGATTATTGGTTTGTTAGATTTCTTACTAAGTAGTCGTCTTTCGTGCTTCCAGCCGTAAGATTTCTTACTAAGTTATCGGCTTTGTGTTCCCAGCACCGTTTGGGATGTTGAGAATCTTACACTTCGTACGAGTATCAAAGCTGTGCCACATGCTGATCGAGCTGCGCAGAAATCTAGGAGAAATACGTCACTAAATTTCGTCGGTGCAGAGGTTCTGAGAGGCTGTCCGCAGTTCGATTAGAGGTCCTCTGAAAGGTTGCGAGGTCCCCTCGATCGACGTCTGTATTTGATTCTTCATACATCTTCTAGTTTCTCGCTCGGCATTGATTACCTCTGAATAGATCAATTGTGTATTAATCATCCAAAAGTTCTTGGAAGGGCTCGTGGAGGCGAAGGAGGCCTCGGAATAATGCTCGTACTTGGAAATCGAGGATGCGTTTATGGTCAGAGACCCAAGTTGCGATCTAGTATTCATTTTTCATACAGAAATTCTCGGGGTAGTTCTGTAGATGGAGATGTTGACAACGGTGATTGATAGTCTTTTGTCCCAAATTATCGTAAAGTCGTCTCCATCCAAGTCACCACCGCTACACATATCAGGTAGCGAAAAAGGTAAAATAGTTTTACGGCGGATTTGTGAGCCGCTCGAGTTCGATACCGTTGAGGTCGTTGTCAATAAATACACGGTATTGCGTGTTCGATATTGACGTTTAACCTGGATCGGAAGTAGGAAATTGACAACAATACACTGACTGGCGTCCTCTTTGCAATATGTCAACAATCTTCTCACAAGCTTGTGTTTGGAGAAAGATAACTGCGTGTGTTTCAGGCGTGACCTTTCTTCTTTTTTTTTTTTTTTTAAATTTAGAACTTTATTGTCTAACTACAGATAAACTGCTAAAGCTAGTTTTAACATATATGCATAGCATACAGAGGTACAATAAAGAGCTTGGCTGAATAGCCTGGGATAGAGTATAAGGGGAGTATAGGGGAGGATTCTGGTGATAGACATAGTTGAAGGCAAGGCCAAGGTAAGTATGGAGTAATAATTTTGTATGAGAGGAGGATGGAGATAAAGGAAGAGGAAGCTTCTGTTATAGAGGAGGGATTAGAGGAACCAAAAGATGTTGAAGTGTAGGAGGTCCATATGTCCAAGGGACAGCTGATTGAGTGAGACGAGCGATATGCTTGATTTTTGAAGGAAGGTGTTCAGGCGTGACCTTTCTCATTACACCCAATCATATTGTGGTACACAAATAACTAATTTAGATCAAGGTAACTCTGGTCAATTACCGCTTAACCCCAGCCGGAATAAGTGCTAATGCAGGCTCAGAACTTCAATACAATGCATAGGTATTTATTGCATAACAGACTTTACAGTTCTAAAAATGAAATTTTCGCACGTTCTAGTAGATTATTCATCATCAATGCATCATCTATTGCTTCTTCTACATTGCTCAAATCATCATAGGTTGCGTTTTCACTATTTTCGTCGATAGATCTGATTCCTTCGTCATACTTGTTATCAATGCATCAACGTTTTTCTTAATCTCATCCTGAAGGTATTCCAAGCATATAGAACATTTGAATTGACATTGTTGCAGGCAATGACTATTACTAGAACAATGCCATTGCTTACATCACTCATCTGGTTGCAATATATGAAAAGAATAGGAAACGTAAATCAGGGGGGAAGACTTCGACTATATCCTCAGAATGGTATTTTATTCTTTTTGCCTCGGATGGAATATCAAGCACGAGCAAGGACCCTCTCAATATTAGATTTTCAGAATCTTGAAGGAAGGATCGGAGGAAGAAAAAGATTTGCGTAAAAACGTGAAGCGGGTTATGGAGGTTATCGTTGGATTGTTGAAAAGTGTGTGGATGAAGAACCGGATAGGAAGGGGGCTAGGATAGAGGAATACCATTCGAAAAAATAAGCATGAATAATAACATAACATAGAAACGTCATGTACTACGAGATGTGTCCCGATCCTTTCTGTATTAAAAAACAACATTCGAATATAGTTAATGTTTGTCGCATGATGGGGGTATGGGATGTGTATGCTAATCATGAAGTCATCTTTATTGATTTGTAGGGCGTAATTGCTAGCGAAAATCCGGGGAATGTTTTTCCTGGACATTTACCCGCGCTATATAAAAACAGGTCAGTATCTTTTTTCGAATCTTATTGTCCAGAGAGAAAAAGAAACAGTATGACGGATTCTGAACAAAATAACGAGCCGATTTCAGAACCACTCAAGACCTAGAGGAAAAGCAGTACTCCCTCACCTGATAACCCCTCTCTTGTTAGGTATAGAAACCTCGGATATAATATTCTCAAAAGTCTCAATGATAAAGCTGTCAGAGATATCGATTTCCCAGAATTGGAACCATGCTCTGAATGTAGTAACGACATTTTATCATTCCTGTCGAGGGTTCACCCGACTCCGATGTGGACACATCTTTCATAGACTCTGTGCTGAAAAAAAGCTTTTACTACTGTTCCAAACACATGTCCATTTGCTGATTGTGGAAAGAATATGGACACCTTAGAACAAGCTGATGCTATTGGTATTGTTTCTAATATGCAAGTTGTTTCCAATATGCAAGATTCGCCATTATCCCAATCAAGTGGAATTTCAGCTATATCCCACGTGATGAGCGAAAGGTTTATCTTATCTTTACCAACTATACGGATGGAAGGGATCGGGGATACAGCAACTCAACGAGTCAGAAGTAATTTGAGATGCGCTAAATGCTCTGAGGACCTTTCTTCATGCCTCCCCTCTAGGCTTTCTTCGATTCTCGAAACCGCTCGTATATCGTGCATCGATGATCCACGCAAGTTGTGTCCTATATATATGTCCCGCCAGTCGATGATATGAAAACGAGCCTTTAATGATTGTTGGTGGTGATGATGATGATGATGATGATGATGATGATGATGATGATGATGAAGAAAATGGTGGAGAAAAAGGGCATCCGAGGAACTGGAGATTCGAAACAAAGCTTCCTCTACCAGCAAAAATGAAAAGCGGGCCAATACATCTAGGATAAACTCTCCAGTAAGAAAAGGTGGCTGAGGATTCTCACGTATTACAGCAAAAAAAAAACTTATTTATCTGTTATCAGTACCCGTAATCCATTTATTTGATTATCTGACAGACACCGAATTATCTGATAATTATCCAGATTGAGATAAATAGTTAATGTTAATAAATATTTACATCTAATTTTTTACAAATTATTTGTTTATTTTACGCCCTTCAAAAACGCCAAAATCTAGGCACATGGCTTCGGCTTTGGCCGATGCTGTTAAAAATCAAGATGTAAATAGAATTCTTTAAAGGGCAGACATTGGGACTATGTTTATTTAGTCACATTGAGTCATTACGTTAAATTCCGGGATATTTTTCTTATTTATACAGTAATTAAGACGAAGTTTTCTTTAAAATTTTTTCTTTCTTTAAAAAAATTTCTTATGAGTAAGGGTCACAGAGTCAGAGTCACAGAGTCAGAGTCACAGAGTCAGAGTCATTAATCTTTGCTAAAATGTTTTCTAAAAACTAACTGCTAAATTTCCTTTAGATCGGTGTACTTATTGTGTCGGGGTGAAATCATGCAACAGATGTAACGGATGCGCTGACCATTGTAATTGTCGTGAGTAAAAATTTCTAATTCAATGACTCAAATGTCGATGACTCTGACTCTGTGACAAGAAAAATTACAAAATTATATATACAACTTTATCATATTCTATTATATTCATATAAAATTAAAGCTTGCTTTATTTATGCAAAATTATGAAGTTTTAAACATAAGTTATTACACCACCGTGAAATTAAAGTTTCACACTATTCAATAAAAATTTTTGCCAGCCAGATCTTGGTTCATGATTTTTAACTAATGTATGCCTGTATGTGGTGGGGTGTGCATCGGAAAAAAAATAAAACCAATTGCGTCCTATATGAGAGTTGTTGTCAAACATGTAACCCGAACTTGATTTATCGCTCCTATCTGAGAGTTTGCTACGTTTATCAGTATCATTATTCACATATTCCCAACGATACCCCCCAACATGAGCCTGGAGTCCTTGACATACCTTCCAGATATGATTAATTCCAGTAACACGCCGTGCTTCAGCTATGGATGGAAATTCTCGGAAAGATCCATCATTAAAAATCTGCTTGACAGCACGTTGGTACCCAAGCCCAAGACGTACAAACAGCATGTTGAGTGTTTTCTTTCTGTGTACACCATTCGAGATTGGGTGCAGTATTGTTGGTAGAATTTCTGTCAACGTGATTTACATATTCTTCGGGCATTCGCACATATGTCGTAAAGACTTTGATGCTAGCTTATCAAACTTCTTACCAATTTATAAGAAAAATGAGCGTCGTTATTATGCAATATTGGTAAGAAATGGAGAACACATGCTAATTATAATCTAAAATACTTCCTTAAAGGAATTCAAGATATCAGTCACGAGAAAAAATTATCAAAATTCGTCAAGAGGCATTGTTGCTTGTTGGATTTAAGTCTCGGGCTAAAGAGCAGCCTAATCTCAATGCTACAATAAAATTTATTAATGCAATGATAGGAAGTTGGTGTGGTTATACTATCAAGAGTGGGCGAAAAAGAGAAGGACCTAAGAATCAACAAACATGGATACAAAGTTATTGGATAGGCCGTAAACCCTACAGTGGGACAAAGTCGGGGCCCCAACTCTTTCACCATATAATTCGTAGTAAATTAAAGTATAATTAATAGAAAAATATTATGCCTTGGCGTTCGACTGATAAAATTATTGTAACGAAACTCGAAAAACGAAAATTATGCTTTGCCGTACTACCACAGAGGTATTATAATAGCGTGTAATTTGTAGTACATCAAGGTAGAATTATTACAAAAAATATATTATAGAATTATACTTTGGTGTACTACGTACCAGTGAAATCGTCATCACGCAAAGCGTGCACTCCGTGCATTATTTTCTAGGTATATGTTTTCCGAGTATTTAACTTCGGAAATATTATATAATAATTATGGAAGAAGAATACCCTTTGTCGATATGTTTTGGGGTATGTTTTTCGGGTATTTAATATTAACTTCGGAAATATTGTATATAAATTATGGAAGAAGAATACTCTTTGCCGATATGATTTGGGTAAGTATAGTATTGCGCGCAGTAGGTAACTTCAGGAGTATATATAATAAATATGGAAGAAACATCCCCTCGTTGCGGGTAAAAATAGTTATTTTTTGAATAACAACGCAAATGCAAATCACTCGTCATGTATCCGCCCGCGGAAAAAGATAATGGCAATATGTTCCTAATCGGACTGCTTCGCATTTTTAATTTAAACACATTTACTATATGTTTACAGGAAAGAGAAGCGAAGCTTCGAGGCTTAGCCTCTCAGTTTCTACCAGTCGTTGGTATAATAATAATCCTATATCGCATAGCTTCATAAATGGTTTACCGCCAGGACAAATATTGGAAACCAGAAATAAGTTAGAACCTTTGTTTTTGAAGCATCCAGAACACGCTTTAACTACTTTAATCTATACTGCAGAAGTTGGGCGCGAATGGAGTATATCGAGTCGGCTTTAAGAGCTTGATGCTAATATTTATTACGCATTAGACACACATGCGCAATTTTTGCGCAAAGTTTACCCCTACATTGATCAATATCAAGAAAATTACGTTTGCCGCATTTTTACACACGGTTATAAAACAGAAGTTGGAATGTTATGTGGGTTATGTGATTTTTCTGATGAATTTGACGGAGTAACTAAAAATGTTATAGAATTGAGTCATTGTGATTAACTTTTAGCGTGTGCAGCTATTCTTGTTTCGATTTTTATACTACGACGAAATACACGTAGTTGCTAATCTCTTGGTGCCAAGTTTATTCGCGTTATAATAAAACCGATCTTGAGCATGTTTCATACGTGTGCCACCTGGTCGGTAAAGCCATGCGATTACTACATTCTCAATCACGTTAACTGCATTGATGCGTTTTTTCCATAGACGGAATGTTCGCTGGATATTAGTTGCTGCTACTGCTCAATTTTTATATACAAGATGTGCCACTTCCATTCTAAATTTGGAGATAAGCCCCCCCTCGGAAGTCTGTATATTCATTTCTGGTTAATGTTAATACGGAATACGAAATTTTGCCAATGATCCTTATTAGTAATATCATATGCAGATATTAACAAACGTCTACGTATATATTTGGGTGGATGATATTTTGCGAACCGTAACCACGATTCCGATGTTTTCAAATTTAATACAGTCAATCCTCGGAAAACCGATGTGGCAGTCCTCACCGGTTTTCCGAGGTTTGACTGTATACTGCAAACCATATTCAGTTAGCAGGTATCGAGCATATTTGTATTTTTCTGTGACATCTCGAATTCTGCACATATCTATTAAGTTGATAATCGGTTCTAGGTTATACTGTTAGGTTCTAGGTTATACTGTTAGGTTATAGATTATAAAAAATATTCTTTCAATTCGATGTTGCAGGTAGAAACAAGGTCATGTGCGAGCCTGCAGGCTAACTTCGCAAGCCAACTCCTGAAATGACGACGCAATCGCAAACTCGTTGTCCCTTGGTCGATAATAATTTAATTTTTTTCAGCTATCTCTGCTGGCTAACTCTGCAGGATAACTCCGCAAGCCAATGCCGTGAGCCAACTCCATGAGCTAACTCCATGAGCCAACCCCTGCAATGACGACACAAACATAATTCCCCATACTCCAATAACTGGGATTGTTGTAATCCGGTCAAAAAACTATCTCCACAAGAGCTTAAAATGGCTATAGGAGCGTTAAAAATGACATGGGATAGCTATAATCCATACCACTGCACTGCATCAGGTTTGGATCTTTTGCCTTCTGAACAATCATTGCATGTTGACCATTCTTTTTCATGGCCTCTATAGAATTGAATAAATTCACTGTGTTTTGAACAATGAGAGCATAATTTGTAATGAGGGACATGGCAATTTCAAGAAGCCATCGTTATGATCGAAGAAGATTGGGCTGGGCAGTTTTTGATGCCGAGAATTCAATTAACATTCGGACAACGAAGATTAGCTTGAGCTTTTTGTAACAACCTGACAAACAGACGGACTATGAATAAGAATGCATCAATAAAGAGACATTAATACAAGACAAGGTTAATTACAAGAAACAAATACTGAACGTATAGCTCTAATAAAGTTTGATCCAAGTATTTATAACAAGACGATTATTATTTAACTACTGCATTAACATATTTAGTAGAAAAAGTGGAATATATTTCTTACATTATTCAAAACACTTAACCTCACCCTCACCATTTCAATATATCACTACTTAAAAGCTGTATTAGCATGAAAACTTCAAGTTTTAATTTTTATCAAAATTATAACAGTGAAAATTTCTAACTATTGCTATAACTACAGTTACCATAGGACTTGTTTAATTCCTTGGTGAGGGAATTTGAGACCATTGTTGATAATGATAATGATAATGATATATTTAAACCATCAAAACACGTGTTTAACGCTGATATAAAGACCAGAGAAACCCTCCAAAGCAGCCAAAGGGGATGAGGAGAATTAAGTTTGACAATGCACAGCTATGACTATTACATTTTGTTAGCAAATCACAGCGTTATAATCTATCTCTAAATTTCTGTACGTTTTATGGTGCACTCGTGTGACTTTCTTGTTCACATCGATTAATCATTTAGAAAGGATTCACTGTAACGTAAAAGGGAAAAAAAGAAAGAAAGAGAGAAATAGATGCTGATATCAAACGACTACGTTCCAACTGAAAAATAATATTTATCTATACGCGTGTTTAAAAACTCTACTAGTTAGAATTACTGTGACAGTACGACATGTTGTAACTATAAATATTGATAACTCAACTTTTCTAAAAGTACTATAAGCAAACAGTCAAGCGTAAAAAGTAAAAAACCTTTGTACCAATAAAATTAATCCGAACTAGAAGCCGAGGATCGATAAGCTAATCAATTTTGTATAGTCCCTCATGCGTTCACAGCAAATAAACCGAAAATAGATTTCGACAACACTTTTTCAAATACTGGTAACAAAAAATTTTCCTAATGCTTGGTCTTGCACATTTGAAATAACCTTCTCCTTTGTTTTACCAGATTATTGTAAATTTTTTCAATTAACCATAGATTGGTAACTACATTGATAAATCGATTGGTTTCATTTGATCTTTTGATTGATATAATACCTTCTATCTATTATATGGGGCAGACTGCAACAAAACCAGACAAAGGGAACATTCTATAAATGAGGGGCTGATTGGTTGTAAAATTAACCAGGGTGAATGATGATATTTTGAAAAGCAATAATGGTGCTCATTCATAACTTATGGGGGTTGTTAAATTTTAATTCTCACTTTATCATACCAGAAGGTGAGGAATATAAACCATAACAGGATTAATATAGGACTATCCCTATATAAAATAAATATATGAAACTCATCTATGTTAAATCCACTATGGAACCCAAGAATTATAGCACTATTAGAAGTATTCTGAAAAAAGCCCAAGGTGAAAAAATTGCTCCCTACATTTTTAAAATCAATGATACACAAACTCTTCAAGAATATCTAGATAAAGAAGAAATCACTTATGAAATTTAAATTACTTTCGTAATTTCAATCAAGGCCATTTCTTAGTTTCTTTAACTTCAATTTGAGCAACTTGACCATTCTGTTGCCCTTTCAATAATTTGTTTTCCTCTTCTAACTGCTTAATTTTTTCTTCTAAACTCTTTATCTTATCCAATAGCTCTTGCTTCTGTCTTTTACTTCACTCTTCAGACTTCTCTTGAAATTTGGCTACTTCTTCTCTTTCAATTTCTAAGGCTTCCTCAGTCTCATTTAGTTGTTCTTGTAAGGAATTTATTTGTCTTTCATAAAAAGCAGACATACTTTCTCTATCATGAGGCAAGTTAGGCAGTTCCTTCTCTTCTGGATTTTCATTTCTTTTAACACAGCGACAAATGACTTTATTAGTAAGATATTCAATGTCAGATTGAATTCTTAATCGACCACATCTACTACACTTTGACAACTCATTATTTTCAAATCTTACCTTACAATTTTCACAAATAAAATCGTTTGCTAATATTTTGTTAGTGATTTGACTACGGGTTT